GGCTCTCCACCGAACGTGGGGTTCATCAGTACTGTTCCAAGATCTACCACAGCACAAACGAATGAGTAATTGAACAGCTACAACTCTTAATTATTAGTCTCGCGAAAAGAAATGATCGATTTACTTAAGATACCATGGATGAGGGCAGTGAGGTGAAGCCAATCTTGATCCGGGTAGTCTCGGCGAACGGCTTCGGCGGATTGGAGAAGGTGTTCGATTTGGGGCTCATCGAGGTCCTGATCGCTCTCGTCGACTATCTCATTCAGAAGCTCGATGCAGTCCCATCTGCTCATCTCCGCCTTCTGCAGCTTTCCATACTCTTCCTTCTTCTTCTTCTTCTTCTTCGCGTTGCCGCAGGCATCAACCGCAGTCACGTAAAATTAACTTCAAAACAAGGTGAACATCAAAAGATATACGATCGAATAATAGCCCGACGCAGACGCAGCAATTGCGTGACAACAACATCAAAAGAAAAACAATGGAACCCCGTATCTTTGGAGGTTTGACGTTGCAGACATCTAAACAATTTAGATCGTTCAAAACGTATCCAACTTCGAATGGAACTTTTGGCATATACAGAAATCATCACCGTGAGAAAGAAAGTTGTATAAGACAAATCCATATAGCATATGTTTGGTAGATGTGATTGACACGGTAGAACTCTTCCACTGTTGCTCTTCTTTCGCTCTCTTTCTCATAGTCCCCGCATCACCATGAAAACAGGAACCGGTTAGGAAGAAGAAGAAGAAGAAGAAGAAGAAGAAGGTGACATATACCTGAAGAAGGTGACCTAATCTTACATCAATCACAAACCATTTATGGATGATGAAGATATATTTATCCATAAGCATCGGGACCAGATGATACCAAAATCAAAACCGTGGTTCGTGACGAGGAAGACAGAAGGTGACATATACCTGAAGGAATGACCACAGGCGTTGCTGCCGAGGACTACAAATCCTCCATCAAGAAGGCGTTCCTTTTCTTCCACCGAGCCCTCCACATTCACGTTGTTGGCTATGGGATTCTCCTCAAGAACCGGATCTAGAGCAAATCAACATGAAACAAAGACGCACTGCTGTCAGGATCATTCTCCTCAACATACAACTGAGAACATGAAACTGGAAGAAGCGCAAAGGATGTGCGGAGAGAAACATCATACCGGGCTCGATGACCGTCATGGTGTCTCCAAGGAGAGACTTCACACACTATTCGCCGGACCAGTTAAGTGACGTGAACACTGAGCGGTAGGCCTTTCGATGGCCTCCTATGCTTCACTGCCCCCGTCTAAATCACCTACGATTCCCCAAGATCTTACTGGATTACCTCTAAGGCCAACCACTTCGCTTTTGGGCCGACTTAATGGGTCATTCTGGGGGCCCATATTAATGAAGACAAAGAATACATGTCACAATAATGTAGTAAAACAATCGCCACCGTTGAGACAACCGTCTCATCCGTCGACGACCAAACCTGTCGCGCCACGAGACGCGAACGTAGATTTAAACGGATCTCGTCCGCACGATCATAATATAACGGTCTAGATTTTCTTGCCACGAGCATTCCCTTGTCTCGCGACGCGAACCGTAAGAATCCCACGGGCGTCGGCCCGATGAAACATCTTTTTTTATGACTAAAAAACCCATGGTTATCATCTTATACGAGGAAGTAATCTGGTTAAGAAGCCTGCAAGCAATGGCTATCTTGGTCATTTAATTACCGAAATATATATGGTAAGTAAATCCTAGGCGTGGCGGCTAGGGTTTTTTGCGTCGCTTATCTGCACTCTCTCCGCCCCTTCCACCGAAACCTGCTTTATTCGGCTCAATCGAGACATCTTGCCGCCGATTCTAGGATTCCCATGGAGATCGTCGAGGCGCGGAGATTGGTGTTCTTCTAGTTCTTTGTTTCTCTAAGGCCTATCTGACCCCGGCGCTTGAAGATTCTTTTGCGGAGATGGCCAGCATTAACCCCTTCGATCTCCTCGGAGACGACGACAGCGAGGACCCAACGCAACTCATCGCCGCCCATCAGCAGAAGATCGCCTCCAAGAAGCCCACTGCCCCTGCGGCCGCCGCACCTCACGCGCCGGCAAAGCTTCCGACCAAGCCTCTCCCTCCTGCTCAAGCCGGTCGGTCTCGTTGATCTGGTTGAATTCGTCTTATGGGAAAAAATGAGTTTCTTTTGTCGTAGTTTCCGTGCAAATCTGGAACTTATCTGGTTTCTTGTGAAGCTTCTTGCCTCGGACGTGTTTGTCTGCTTTAAAGCTGCGTGTTTTGTGCGTTATTTCTCCGGTTGAAATACGTTTTGCGCCTTGCCATAGTGCTTATCTGATCGGATCCTATTTGATCTTGCAGTGAGAGAGGTAAGGGATGCGAGGAGTAATACTGGGGCAGTGCGTGGCGGGGCTGGCCGAGGTGGCCCCGTCCGTGGTAGGGGTGGACGAGGAGGTCCGATGATTCAAAATCGTGATTTTGGAAATGGGAACACCGGTGGAGCTTCGCGAGTGTATGAAGGTGCTGATGGTGCGGGAGGAGGTGAAGATGGTGACGCTGGTAGGCTTCAGGAGAGGGATCGGCCGCCGCGTCAACCGTTCAGTGGTGGACGTCGCGGTGGATATGGTGGACGTGGTGGATACAGGAATGGGGAGGCTGTAGATGACTCTGAACGTCCTCCACGGAGGATGTACGATCGGCGGAGTGGAACAGGTCGTGGGTATGAGATGAAACGCAGTGGAGCTGGCCGTGGAAACTGGGGAGCTGCAACTGATGATGATATTGCACAGTGAGACTTGATTACTCACTCTTAGGATGTATAGTGAGGGGAACCTTATAATATTAGCTTGTTATTTCTGTAACATTTCGTTTTAACTGTGAACCCTTTCATGTTGGTAGGGAAAAGGAAGAAGTTCTTAATGCTGATGATAAGACTATTGCAACCGAAAAGCAGGCAGAGCAGGATGAGGTGCCATCACCTGAGGTGAACAAAGACAACGAGGGTGCACCAAATGAAGGTGAAGAGAAGGAAGAAGATAAGGTGAGTGAGTACCACTGTACAAAACTTTGTTTCACACTGCACATAGAAATAATAGAATATCTCTTTTTTTGCCAAAAAATCTAATTTAACACTTGTACATGAATACTTGAATAGCCATTTTGGAAGATATAAGACAGTGGATTACTTCTCTGTGTGTCGCATTATCATAAATCTTTTTGCATTTGCTATATACTAGCATGATGTGCAGCAATAAATGCTGTGACAGTAACAAATGAGTCACATTTTCCTGTTCCCCTGTAGTTGCTGTAGTTTATTATACTGCTGTTACATGGGTATTCTATGTTGCACAGAATGAGCACCTAGCTCATTGAATTATACATAAACTTCTAGAACTTACTTTGACTAGAAACGTTTTGATTACTAAGTGTGAACTAATTATTCCTAGTGGTAATGTGGAATCTGTTTTCTACTATTAACTCACCTTTTGTATAGCATTGTGCTCATTTAAGTGCCTTATATAACTACTATTGAAGTTGAAATAATGTCATGCCTATCAAAAACCCATTCATGTCTATTCTTGTTTGACATTCACTATGATTGCACATTTGACCTGTCCAGTTCTTGATACCTTTGAAAATAATAGAATATAGGATGATTGAATAATACTTCATCAGTCCTTCCTGTTATGTATCTGATCTCAGGCTCTTGAGTGAGTGGCTTCTTTTTGTCTTCACAGCTTTTGATAAATGAGTTGCATCAAGAGATTAAGAGAATCTTTTAAGTCATTTGTTAAGCAGCAGGCCCATTACAAGTTCCAGAAGAACAGAGATAAAAATTTTAAAAAATGATATAAATATGTACATTTTTTATGTGATTGTATGGATGTGTTTAAAGCCTAAGTAATTGTAACTTTCTGTATGAGCATGTTGCCTAGTTTGTTATGATGGTTTGTCTGCATGTTATGTTGTTGAATGAAGTAAAAAATAGTTGTCTAAATGGAAAACTTTTGCTGTATATTGTGATAGTCTGACTCTATTCGCATTGCAAATTCAGTTGTATATATATTGGCTTCAATGATTTTATTTTTGTAGTTTCTAACTTTTGTATACCTGATGAGTTTTGGCAGAAAGGCGAGAGGTTTCTGTATCTTTTAATGGTTGTATTGGTATATTATCTTTAGAGGCTCAAGTACTAATTTATACATTCAGTTAAGATGTGCTTTATTTTGTTTATAACTATCATTGTTTATATTTAATATTGTTTATTTATCTTGGTAACATCTGTTAGTTTGTTTGACCGATGATCTATCAAGAATTCAAGATGTCTAAATTTTTTTTGATGGGCATAAATCCTATTAAAATTTCAAGGCGAGAACCATGACTTTTGGAGTATTCACTTGGATATGAAATGTTGTACTTGAAGATAAGGATACGAGATTGAGAAAAGATTGTGGCTTCGAGTAATGCTTTTGATATCGGATCTAGAGTGTTGACATTTGCCACGTTCCTGAGTGCTGGGCCATGCTTTTAATACCATTATCTGAGTGCTGCCTCTCTTTTATTTGCAAATAAAATATCAAACTGTGTAGTACTTGCAACCCAATTTAGTGATTCCAACTCTTGTAGTTTTTTCGGTAGTTGAAACTTTGACTGTGAAGGATTTATTTTGTCTGTTAGGATGCATACGCTTCTTACAGCACCACACTTGTAGTGATGTATTTTTGACTTAAAATGAGTAGGAGATGACTTTGGAGGAGTATGAGAAAGTGAGGGAGGAGAAAAGAAAAGCATTACTTGCAATGAAGAATGAAGAGAGAAAGGTTGAAATTGACGAGGAACTGCAGTCAATGAAGCAACTCTCGGTGAAGAAAGGAAATGATGATGTTTTCGTTAAGCTTGTAAGTGTGCTGTGGCTCTTTTCCTTTTCTTTTGTCATCATGCATGACATCTATGTTAGGACAAGCCTGTTGATCTACTGCTTATTCCACAGGGTTCTGATAAGGATATCGGAAAAAAGAAAGAAAACATTGATCGGGATGAAAGGAGCAAAAAGGTATGCAGTTTCGCCCATCAGGTGTTTTTTTTTCTCATAAAGCTCTGGTAGCCACATTTTCTTATGTTCTTTGACGGTTGTCAATATTTCCTTGTTAGTCCATGAGCATCAATGAGTTTTTAAAGCCAACTGAGGGAGAGAGAAACCGCGGTGGCCGTGGCCGCGGAAGGGGGCGAGGTGGTCGCGGACAATTTGGTAGCGGCTTTGGAGGCGAGGGTTCAACTTTTGCAGCAGCTGCTGCTCCATCAATTGAGGATCCTGGACAGTTCCCCACCCTCGGAGGGAAGTGAGAGCCAGCGAGCTCAAAGAAAACCTGTCTGTCTTTATTTCCGCTATCATGGTGATAGTCACTTTAATTATTCATGGGTTGTGAGAGGATTTCAGTACAATAATATGATGGATGCTTGCTGTTCGTTGTTTTAGTCTCAGTTTACTGATATGTATATCTGAGCATGTGTTGGCAATTGCTAAGATGTTATAGGACCTGCTCTTGTTATGCATCGCCTCATTCCCACCATTTTTGACATTCTTTTAACTTTCTAATTAAAGATCAAGGTGGAGCAGTTGGAATCATTTATTTCTGCTCGTAGAAGATTTAGGATTTCAAATAATGGCATCCATGCCCATCTGCTTATAAAGGATTAGTCTAACATTTTTTGTTGCAGCTACTAGAAATTTATTTTTTGTTGTTGTCATGGCCGAAACAGCCAGTTAAGATTGGTCAGAGATGGTTACTATATCAGTTGGTGTCAAGTTGGCCATCGGGTGGGTTCATAGATCATCAGTTGGTTGGATGAAGGTGCTGTTCTTCTTCCTCCAGGCCTACCTTTCATTCTCTTCGACTGTGGCTTCGCTGTTGCTTTTGGCAACAAGGATTTTAACCGTCAATAGCAGTCGGGTATCTTATTTCAACCTCTAGGGGTTTGTGTTTGATGGGGTTTTTTCAAAAAAAAAATATTTATTCTTTTTATCTCATCAATTAAAGCAATGAAAATTTTAAATTGTGGATGCACAGGATATTTAAAAAATGTTATTGACATTAGGTTGAAATCGAAGGTCAAACTAAACGATGCATCGATCGTGAGCTTATAGAGAATATACGACCAGCTAGCTATCAGTCACCATGCAATTACTATATAAGGACTGATGTTCTTTTAATCATAGGGGTCGAGGTCCAAAAAAAGGCTTGG